CCCTCCCCTCTCCCTCCCTCCTCCCTCAACTCTTTATCAATACTTTTTTCCTATTGAAAATGGCTTCTAAAGAACAAAGCAATAGAGAGAAAACATATCAATATAACATTTAATAACCAAACTCCTTGTGTATGAGGGAAAATATATAAAATGTACAGCAGCAATGCTGCATTCTATTTCTTTGTAAATTTTTTCATAATTTTCCATTTCTCTTAAATTCATATCATATACCAAAAAGTTTTGCCCGTCAAAAATTCACATTGGGCTTGGCACCTGTAACACAGTAGTTAAGGTGCCGGCCACATACACCGAGGCAGGTGGGTTCATACCCAACCCAGGCCTGCTAAATAATAACTACAACAAGAAAATAGCTGGTGCTATGGTGGGTGCCTATAGTCCCAGCTACTTGGGAGGCTGAGGCAAGAGAATTGCTAACCTAAGAGTTAGAGGTTGCTGTGAGCTGTGATGCCTTGGCAGTCTACCAAGGGCAACATAGTGAGACTTTGTCTCAAGAAAAAAAGAAAAGAAAGAAAATTCACATTGAAACAGTGTGCTGGGTGTGCGCTGGTATTGGCTATATCCTTCTTTTTGGGATCCAGAGTTGCCCTGTTTAATGAAGCTCTTCATCAGCAGATTAATTCTCCTATTATCTCCAGCACCATCTCCATCAAGTAGGAGGTGTTTCTTTTTTGACTTCTTCCCTCATTTCAGCTTGATTTTTTTCAAAAGCTAAGTTATTTATAGAAGACTCTCTGTAGAAGCTGTAGTTTGTCTTCAGATAATCATCAGTCACAGCTCCCATGGTGTGTGTGGCAGCTGGGGCACTATCTGAGCTCTGTGTTTCTTTTTTATGGTATCTATCTCTTTGTTGAATTTCTCATTCAGATTATGAATTGTATTTTTTAATTAATTGAAATATTTTTCTGTGTTATATATCACTAAGTTTCCTTAAGATCATTATTTTAAATTCCTTTTATGAAATCTGTAAATTTTCTGTTTGGTGGTGGTCTTTTACTGGGGCATTATTATTTTGGTGGTGTTATATTTCCTTGCATTTTCACTTTTCTTGTATCACTATGTTGCTATCTGTGTACATGGCAGATCATTTGCCTTTTTAATTTTATAGAGTAGCTTTTGTAAGGAAAGGCTTATTCTTGTAGATGGATCCTAAGATGTTTGGGTAGGACACATTGGCTTTGGTTCTGGGTGGACACAGTAGTGTAGACTCCATACAGTTTCTTCGACTGTAATTCATGTTAGTTATCTTTGTGCATGCCTCAGTGGGCTTGGCTGTAGGAATTTGTGGTGGTGGCGTGGCTTTGCTGGGGGCAGGCCTGCCAGGCTGGTTTTCAGTCAGGGAGCACATGCGTGCATGCAGTGGGTTAGACAGTTTAGTAAGTGACTTGTTGAGGTTAGGCCTTCTGGGCTGTTTCTCCAGCTGGGGTGTGTGCACATTGGTTCAGTCAGTTTAGCTTGTTTTGAGGATGGGTGTACTAGAGAAAGATCCAGCAGCCTGTTTCTCAAACCAGGGGTGTGAATTCATGGCAGTGACTGGTGGACAGGCTCACTGGGTGCGGGTCCACCAAGTTGTTTTCCTAGTCAGGGGTGCCAGGCAGCCTCACAGGCACAGGTTTGGTAGGCTCTCCTTTTCCAGACAGATATGCAGATGTGTGTCATTTCTGCCTGCTTAGTGTTGGCTTCTCTAATGTGTCCAAGTGAATTCAAGACAATTCGTGGGCCTACATTCCTAGCAGCTTGGGTTTTGGTGTTTTGCCGCCTGTGTGGGCTTGGTGGAATGTCAGGGGAGCCTAAAGTTTGAGAAGTACAGTGGCTATTGGCCTTCAGCAAGCACTTCAGCAGTGGCTTTGGTTTGAAGGTAGCTCTATGCTGTGGCAGCTTGGGTCATGGGGGTTTGGGGAATGCACAACTTGTGTTGCTACTCTAGAATGATGGAGCCACATGATTTCCAGGCAGTTCCAGGGCTCATGAAGATTGTGGAATTCTCCTGTAGTAAGGCGTATACGGGGGCACTGGTTGTTGATGGGGCCTTCTGCTCACTTTTTACCTGGAAAGGGGAGTCCATCCTTGCTATGAGCCAGCCCCAGTGGGGCAGCATAGCAGCAGAGGAACAGGGCCTTCCTCACCTCTCATGCTCCTCTCTTGGGCTTCCATGCTCTACAGGGATCTTGCCAGTCCTTTGTTGCACTTCAGTACTCTTAACAGACACTGTGGTTGAACGTAAATTGTCATTCATTGTTTTGAGCCTTCAGTGTTGGTGGGGAGAAGCACCAGACACATTTAGCCAGCCATATTGCTGACCTAATGAATGGGTTTAATAATAGATGAGACATAGAAGAAGAAAGGATTAGTGAACTGGAAGATAGTTGCATAAAAAGTCCCCAGATTGAAATATCGATTGAAGAAAGAATAAAAAATTTAGGAAATAAGACATGTGGTACATATTAATTGTTAAGTTTAATATGTGTAGCAGGCATTGTGGGGCGGACACCTGTAGTCCCAGCTACTTGGGTGGCTGAGGCAAGAGAATCGCTTGAGTCCCAAGAGTTTGAGGTTGCTATGAGCTATGACGCCATGGCACTCTACCCAGGGCAACATAGTGAGACTCTGTCTCAAAAAAAAAAAAAAAAAAGAAGTTTAATATGTGGCAATTCTGTAAGGAGAAGAAACAGAATGGGGCAAAAGCCAAATATATGAAGAGATAATAGCCAAGAATTTTTAAAAACTGATTAAAGATATCAATTGCAGATTTAAGTAATAAGGATAAATATTAAAGAAAACCATATATAGGCACATTATTTTAAGATTGCTAAAAACTGTAGATAAAGAGAAAAATCTTTAAGATGGTCAGGGAATAAAACAACGTCCTACCTTCAACAAAGCAGTAGGAAGACTGCTGTCTGGCTTTTAAAGGAGGAAATACCACGTATCTTAAACATAGACTTTAATTAATAAAAGAATGGAAATCTCTTTTTATTAATTCTTGTATACAGCCAAGATAACCTTAAAGCTAAACCTTGACATTGAAAGGAAGAATATAGACAGTCTGTCTTTGGAATATGGGTACAAAAATTATATTATAAAATATTTACAAACCAAATGCAGTGATACATAAAATGTGATATGTACATATACAACTTGGCAAGATTTAGTCCCAGAAAACTTGGATGGATCAAAATTTGAAAACTAATACATTATCTGATAAGAAGAGAAAAATTGTGACAATTACTATCATATAAAATTCAGTAACATCTCATGATAACTAGTAATAAAGGAGGACTTTTTAAATCTGATGGAGCCCCGATAAAAGCGTCCAACAACAAAATGATATGGAATGGTAAGTTATTGGAAGTTTTTCCTATTGAGATCAAAATAAAGGCCCTTCTGTTACTTCTTCTATTAAAAATTGTTGTGAAAGTTTTACTGAAAGCAAAAAGGGAAAATCCATAAAAATTGGAAAGGGAAGAGCTGATAACTCATTCACAGATGATATGTACATACGTATCCAAAAAAGTATATGTAGTATAGACAAATTCTTAAAATTAATAAGCAAATTTAGCAACATGTCTGGATGTGAGTTCAATATACATAAATTAAGTGTATTTCTAAATATCGACAGCAATCAAACACTAAATGCTATTTATTAAAAGATACCATAGATAATGTCATAAGAAATCATTGGATACCCAGCAATAAATTTAAAGAAAGATGTATATCTATACTTAAAGTTACAAAATATTATTAAAAGAAAATAAAGAGGGCAGCATCTGTGTCTCAAAGGAGTAGGGTACCGGCCCCATATACTGGAGGTGGCGGGCCCAGTCCTGGCCAAAAAAAAAAAAAAAAAAGAAAAGAAAGAAGACTTAAATAAATTGAAAGTATGTTATATTAATGAATGGGAAGGCTCGATATTTTAAAGATGTCAGTTTTTCCCATTGTGTGTGTGTCTATACAATATAATCCCAATAATAACTCATTGCCCTGCATCCTTTTATTCATAACTTTTTTTTAACATATGTTTTGGGGGCACCCACAGGTCAATCAGTAGAGTGCCAGGCACATACACCAAGGCTGGTGGGTTTGAACCCAGCCTGGGCCAGCTAAAGCACCAATGGCAACTGCTACAAAAAAATTGCTGTAGTCCCAGCTACTTAGAAGGCTGAGGCAAGAAAATGGCTTAAGTCCAAGAGTTTGAGGTTGCTGTGAGCTGTGACACCATGGCACTCTACCCAGGGCAATAGCTTGAGACTCTGTCTCAAAAAACAAACAAAAAAAACATACACTTTAAATGTGTTTTTTTTAAGTATACCATTTTGTACTACCAACAGTGTATGAAAGTTTTGGTTACTCTATAATCTTATCAGCATTTGGTATTTTGTTCTAGTTCAATAAAAATTTCACTAGAAAAACATTTCCTGCTAAAATGTACTTAAAAAAAAAAGAAGATATATCTCACTCTGTTCCCTAAGGCTGGTATGCTGTGCAGTGACCTGATAATAACTCATTGCAGCCTCTGACCTTCTCTGCTCAAGTGATCCTCCTGCCTCATCTTTCCATAGCTAGAACTAGGGACACATGGTATATGTCAGCAAGCTTTGAAAAAGTGTTTTGTAGAGACAAGGTCTTGCTTTGTTTCCCAGGCTAACCTCATAAATGCCTGGCCTTAAGCAATCCTCCCACTTCGGCCTCTCACACTGCTGGGATTACAGGTGTAAGTCACTGCACCTAGCCTAAAATACATGCTTTTAAGACATCTAGAGTCCTAAAAATGTTTTATAGAAAGAAGTAAACTTTCTTACACACTATTAATATTTTAGGGAAAAATGGTGATTTTTGGCTGTGGTCTAATTTCATCATGAATGTTGCCTCTGTTTGTTACATTGCTTGGTAATGTAGACCAGGTTAGATAGTGGGTTGAGAAACCCTTAGTATAAAACCAGTTTAAGGTTTAGATTGAAATGGCTGTCTTTTTCTTCTTTTAGTTAAATGAAGTAAGTGAAGAAAACAAGAGGATGGAAATTCAGGCTAAAAGAGTTCAAGCTCGTTTAGATAACTTACAGGTAAGTTGCTTGCTCTTCTCAAGACACAAGTGAATTTTAAAATCATTGCCTTTGTATTGACTTACTTTTGATGCAATTGTTCTTTAATTCGTGGACATGTATCGCTGCAGAGGAAGTATGAATTCATGACAGTACAGAGATTGAAAGGAAATTCTTACACTGCTCCTGAAGTGAAAAATTCAAAACAAGAAAAAGTACCAGTTTCAAAAACTTCCAAGGTATGAAATGATTGAACATTTTCTCCAGTGGAAAGCCAAGAAATTTCTTTTGCTCTCTAATCTTTTTTTCTTTAATTTAGCAAACATTCTTTTTGGTATGAAAGGATGCACCATAATAATTCTCTTATAGGGAAATATCTTTTGAATATTTACAGTATACTTTTATTCACAAAAACAAAATAATATTAGCAGTGTTTCAGTTACAGGAACATGGGCAAATCATAAGAACTTAAGGTTAATAACAGCTTTATTACTTGGTATGTTTTGAGGCTCCACAAGCATTTGATGTCATTTTTCTTTTTTTTCATTTTTTGAAACAGAATCTCACTATGTTGCCCTCAGTAGAGCCCTGTGGCATCACCCCTCACAGCAACCTCAAACTCTTGGGCTCAAGTGATCTCTTGCCTCAGCCTCCCAAGAAGCTGGGTCTCCCCAGCTATTTTTTTCATTGTAGTTGTCATTGTTGTTTCGCAGGCCTGGGCCAGGTTCAAACCTGCCAGCACTTGCACATGTGGCCAGCGCCTTAGCCTCTGAACTATAGGCACCGAGCCTGATGTCATTTTTCTGACAGTTGTACAACCCATTCCTGAATAGACAACATGAATTTTTTTTCCTCCACTATTTTTTACTTGAGTATAAATGAATACAGTAACATAATACAAAAATCTTGTGAAGTTTGATCAGTTTTGACAAATACTTATACTCATGTAACCTACAGCCAAATATAGAACATTTCTGTTACCCTAGAAAGTTCTCCTATGCCCCTCCTGGTCATTTTTTCCTGCTAGAAGCAGTTATTCTGATTTCTGTCACCATAAATTAGATAGGCCTACTTTAGAACTTTAGTCAATGGAATTGTATAATATGTAATCATTTGTGTAAGGTTTCTTTTTCTTTTTAATGTTGGGTGTAATCGTTTGTGTAAGGTTTCTTTTTCTTTTTAATGTTGGGTGTAATCATTTGTGTAAGGTTTCTTTTTCTTTTTAATGTTGGGTATAATCATTTGTGTAAGGTTTCTTTATAATGCTGAGTGTTTTAGTAGTTTGTATTGTTTTGTAGCGTTCCATCATATGAATATATCACACTTTTTAATTTAAATCTTCTTTTGAAAGACATCTGAGCTATTTCTAGTTTTTGTCTCTTATGAATAAATACGTATGGGGTTTTTGTGGGCATATATTTTTGTTTATGTTACATATATACCAGAACTGCAGTTTCTGGGTTATAAGATAGATGCATGTTTTTAATTAACTGTTAATTTTTTAAAGAGTACCATTTTGTACTCCTGTTAACAATGTGTGAAAGTTCTGGTTGCTCCACAATCTTACCAGTTTGGTATTTTCAGTCTTTTTCATTTTGACCCTTCCAGCAGGTATGTCACCATATTGTGGGCCTTAGTTATTTTGGTAAATGTACTAGTTCTTTATATAAAGTAAATTGGAAAAGGTGGAGATTTTATACCCAGCTACTGATGGTTTGTTTTCAGACATCTGATTGTGTTTTTGTGGACTGCCATCTTCTTAATGTTGCCTTTTTATTTATTTATTTTTTGAGACAGAGCCTCAAGCTATCACCGTGGGTAGAGTGCTATGGCATCACAGCTCACAGTAACCTCCAATTCGTGGGCTCAAGCGATTTTCCTGCCTCTGCCTCCCAAGGCAGTCCCTGATGATACAGGGACTATAGGCACCGGCCATAATGCCTGGCTGTTTTTTGGTTGCACCGTCATTGTTGTTTGGTGGGCCCAGGCTGGATTCTAACCTGCCAGCTCAGGTGTATTTGGCTGGTGCCTTAGCTGCTTGAGCCACAGGCGCCGAGCCAAGTTAATGTTGCCTTTTTATTAATTTGCTTTTTTATTTTTCTGTTTTCAGATTTTTAAAAATTAAATCTAGTATAGTTCCCTGCCTAAGGGAAGATTGTATTTTGAAGAAATACTAAAATCACTCTAATTACGTTCATAACTTATTAGAGGCATTTTGTTTTTACCTTTTGCCTTTCATTTTTGTAGGCTCTTATATGAATATAATGTGAAAAAATGTTCATATATATTCACATAATGTTATATTGTAAAAGCAAATAAGTAATAACTTTTGCTGTTGGAAAATATGAATATTTCCATGTGGAATGGAAATGAAATATTTCCATAGTAGAAATTCTTTACGTTTGAAAATCTTTAAATTTTTTAGAATCTTTTCATTATAGTGGTTCATGCTTTTGAACTAAGGACCGTGTTTTATTTCTAGATAAAAAGTCTTTTTTTTTAGAGACAGGTTCTAGCTTTGTCACCCAGCCTGACCAAAGCTCACTATAACCTCAAACTCTCAAATTCCTGGGCTCAAGCAATCTTCCTGAATATCTGGACTACAAATGTGTGCCTCTATGCTAATTTTTTTTTTAACCTTTTGTAGAGATGAGGTCTTACTATGTTGCCCAGACTGGTTTCGAACTCTTGGTTTCAGCAATCCTCCCACATTGGCCTCCCAAAGTGTTGAGATTATTAGTAATAAAATTACTATTACTATTACATTACTATTTAGTAATGCAATTATTATAATTTCCCTTATTATTATGGGTTTTCTTGCCTTTTCTCAGCCATCATTTAACATGCTTTTAATATTCTTTGGAGATGTTTGATTTGGAATTTCTGTTGTTTGGAGCAGCTCCCTCCTTAAGCATAAATTTTAGTGAAGCACTTGAGGTAAATTCTTCTATAATCACTGATCAGATTTAAGACTTTCCCTTTGACGTTTTATGAAGTTGTAAACTGGAATAAATGATTTAATTTTTGGCATATAGGTCCCACTTAATGGACAAGTTTATGAACTTTTAACTGTCTTCATGGATTGGATGTCGGATCATCATCTTAGTAAAGTGAAGCATGAAGAATCTGGAATGGATGGTGAAAAACCTCAACCCAAATTGGCTTCTCAGAGAAGTGATATTCAAGAAAAGTTTGTAAAGGTTTGTTTTTTTTTTTTAATTGGAAATACCTGACTTAGAAGATAGGAATATTTTGAAAAGGAAAAGCATATGGTATATTTTATAACTGAAACATTATTAAAAATATATTTGATAGAAAATTGATCATACATATACTCAGTTTTGAAAAGATACATTTCAGACTTAATTAAAATTAATTTATACTTTTATTTTTCTTAATTTGATAGTAATTCTTAAAAGTAGAGACCAAACATTAAAAACAATACGAGTCATCCTTCAGTATCCATGTAGGATTTATTCTAGCACTTTCCATGATCAAAATCCCTCAAATCCCTGATACCAAATGGTATATAGTATTTTCACAAAACCTATGCACGTCCTCATATATACTTTAAATAATCTCTAGATTACTTATAATACCTAACAGAATATAAATGCTGTGTAAATAGTTGTTATACTCTTTGTTTAGAATAATGACAAGGAAAAAAGTTTTCTGCATGTTCACTACAGAACCAATTTTTTAAAAAAATATATTCTGTCTGCAGTAGTTGAATCCATAGATGTGGGACCAAGGGATATGGAGGACTGGTTATACTCCAAAATGCTGAAATTATTGTATATTAGATTAAACAAATAATTAGGGATGGGAACAGTTCCTGCTACATGTAATTTTAGGATTTAAAACTCACTAGGATAATTTTAATTTGCCTTTGGGCATTAAGGGACAAAAAGTCTAGTTTAAGGGAACTATATCATTAACAAAGAGAAATGAATGCTTAGGGCAGTGCCTATGGCTCAGAGGAGTAGGACGCCAGCTCCATATGCCGGAGGTGGCGGGTTCAAACCCAGCCCTGGCCAAAAACTTCAAAAAGAAAAACAAAAAAACAAAAAGAGAAATAAATGCTTAAATTACAGTGCTTGAATATTGGCATTCTTTATATCCGATTATTAACAATTTTATTCCATGAGAAGTACATGAAAACTTTGAAATATAGACATCTAAAATTTTTTATTTGTTCATAATTTCAGAAATAATTAAATACAGGCTCGGGTTTTGTTTTAGTAAATTATTTCCATTTTTCATCCTTATCTACAAAGTGTCTTCTAAATGTCTTTTGTGTTAAGGAGAATAATGGCACCAAAGATGTTCAAATTATTTTTTTTATTAAGTCTTTCATATATAGATCATAAATACATTTATGCCATTATAGGATTCAATGTGTTGATTATTTGTACAAATGGGAATGCTTACATCCTACTAAACAACATAGCCTTCACCACTTTTACCCAATTACAGGATTAAGACATTTATGCTCTACACCTGATAGATCCAACTTGTACTTGCAATATGCTCCATAGGTGTGGTCCCCCTACCAACCCTCCCTCTATTGACCCACCCCCCTCCCTTCCCGTCTCCCTTCCTTTCCCTTCTTCATCCTAGGTTATAGTTGTGTTTCATTTTTCATATGCAGGTGTGAGTGATTATAAATTGGTTTCACAATAGTACTGAGTACATTGGATATTTTTTTTTCCATTCCTGAGATACTTTACTAAGAAGAATATTTTCCATCTCCATCCATGTAAACATAAGAGATAAAGTCTTCATTTTTTTTAATGTTGCATAATAGATGTTCATATCTGAATCCCTAGAACCTGTCATTATGTTATGTTACATGGTGTCTTTGTCTATTTTCTATTGCTATGGCAGAATAGGGGAAACTGAATAATTTATAAGGAAAGGAATTTATTTCTTAGAGTTAAGTCTGAGGTCAAGAGGCCACATCTAGTGAGAGCTTTCTCATTTGTTGGGACTCTGTATAGAGTCCCAAGGTGCCATATGGCATCACAGGGTGAGAGGGCAGAGTGTGCTAGCTCAGATTTCTTTTCCTCTACAAAGGCCACCAGTCCCATTTTCATAAACGCCTATAGCCTATTAATCTATTAAGCCACAAATGGATCAGTTCATTAATCCTCAAGAATCAAACCTCTCATAAAGGCCCCACTTCTCAATATCACCATATTAGGGTTAAGTCACAACATGAGTTTGGGAGGCAACAAACAATCTAACCACAGCACATGGTAAAGGGGAATTAAAACTGGTAATCAGCTGTCCTTAAGATAGATTATCTAGGTGGGCCCAGTAATTAGATAACCTCTTTTAGCCAGAAGAAATCAGAAGAGGAGATTTGAGATTCAGCCCATTGTTGGTAATTTTGAAGATGGAGAAAGAAGGCCAGGAGTCATGGAATTTTGGTGCCTTCTAGAAGCTGGAAATTGCCCTCAATGAATGGCCAGTATAGAAATAGAGATCTCAGTCCTATAACCACAGTAAACTGAATTCTGGCAGCAACTTGAATGAACAAGGAGGTGGATCCTCCCCTATTCTCCAGAGAGGACCACCGCTCTGTAGACACCTTGATTTTGGCTGGCTAAGACCCACATCAGGCTTCTGACCTACAGAACTGCAAAATAATAGATTTGTATTATTTAAATATTATGGCAGCAATAGGAAACAAGTATACCTTTGTTTAGAATTTTATCTATTTTGGTGTCTACATCAACTATTCTCCTGTCTATACACAAGAAAACCAACTACAAAATTGTACAACCTTTTGTTCTCTGGGCACCACTATGGTGATCGGCAAGAACAAGCACCTGAGGAAAGGCGGCAAAAAAGGAGCCAAGAAGAAAGTGGTCGATCCATTTTCTAAGAAAGATTGGTATGATGTGAAGACACCTGCTGTGTTCAATATAATAAATATTAGGAAAACACTAGTCACCAGGACTCAAAGAACCAAAATCATATCTGATGGCCTCAAAGATCATATGTTTGAAGTGAGTCTTACTGATCTGCAGAATGCTGAAGTTGCACTTAGAAAATTCATGCTGATTACTGAAGATGTTCGGGGCGAAAACTGCCTAACTTCCATGGTATGGGTCTTACCCGTGACGAAATGTGTTCTGTGGTTAAAAAATGACAAACTATGACTGAAGCTCATGCTGATGTTAAGACTACTGATGGTTATTTGCTTCATCTGTTCTGTGTTGGTTTTACTAAAAAACGCAACAGTCAGACACAAAAGACCTCTCATGTCCAGCACCAACAGGTTTGCCAAATCTGGAAGAAAATGATGGAAATCATGACCAGAGAGGTGCAAAATATCCTTTTTCAATCCTTTACTTTCAGTGTATGTATGTCTTTATGGATAAGGTCAGTTTCCTTAAAGTAGCATATAGTTGGATCATTTTTTAAATCCATTCTGCCAATTTATATCTTTTAAGTGAGCATGTAACACATTTATTTCCAAGGCTAATATTGGTATGTGGGGCTTCATACATTCTTTCTTTCTTTCTTTTTCTGTCTTTTTGGTTTGATGAAATTCTATCATGTTGCCATTTGATTCCTTTCTTCCTCCTTTGTGTGATTGTTTTATAAGACCTATGGATTTTATATTTTCATTTATTTTCATGGTGGTAAATATCAACCTCCTGTTTGCATGTTTAAGACTTCTTTGAGCATTTTCCGTAAAACTGGTATAGTAATTCCCTCAGTGTTTATTTGCCTGGGAAGACTTTTATTTCTTTTTCATTTATGAATCTTGTTCTCATAGGATATAAAATTCTTGGCTGAATGAAACTAAATTCCTACCTCTCCCCATACACAAAAATTAATTAGATGGATGGATTAAAGACTTAAACATAAGACCTGATACCATAAAAGTTATAGAAGAAAACCTAGAAAAAATTTTAGAATCCACTGGCCTAGGCCAAGAATTTTTGCGTAAGATCCCCCAAACATACAAAACACTAAAATAAATATATGGGTCTTAATTAAAATGTTTCTGCACTGCAAAAGAAACCAACGGAGTAAATAAACTACTTACAGAATGGGAGAAAATATTTACAAGCTCTATATCTGACAAAGGTCTATAATATCCAGTATGTACAACTCAAACATACCAAGAAGAAAACAACCCCATTAAAAAGTGGGCAAAAAGACATGAGCAAACATTTTCCAGAAGTAGATATACAAATGGCCGATAAATACATGAAAAAATGCTCACCATCACTAATCATCGTGGAAATGCAAATTAAAACCTCAGTGAGATGCCATCCTACCCCTGTCAGAATGACCATTATTAAAAAGTCAAAAATAATAGATACTGGCTCAGATTTACTTGTAAAGAGAATGCTTACACACTGTTGGTGGGAATGTAAATTAGTATAACCTCTGTGGAAAACAGCAATCCCACTACTAGGTGTATCTACCCAAAGAAAAAGAAATCTTTATGTCAAAAAGACACATGTACTTGTATGTTCATTGCAGCATAATTCACAATTGCAATGATACGGCATCACCCTAAGTGCCCATCAACTGTTGTGTGGATAAAAAAAATGTGGTGGTGGTGGGAAATATGTATCTTCCATGAATACTACTCAGCCATCAAAAAGAATGAAATATTATCTTTTACGGCAACTTGGATGGAACTGGAAGTCATAATCCGAAGTATTTCAGGACCAGCAACATTTTAAACTATATGTGCTCACATATAAGTGACAGCTAAATGATGGGTATACATGGTTCCACACAGTGGTGGAATGGACTTTTAGAGACTCAGGGGAATGGTCAGAGGTGGCTTAGGGATAAAAAGTTACCTTTTGAGTACAGTGTATGTTATTTAGGTGACAGGGACACTAAAAGTTCTGACTTCTTCACTATTCAGTTCATCCACATACTCTACTTGTACTCCTTAAATCTATTGAAATAAAGTTAAATAAAATAACCAAATAATTCTAGGCTACCAGTTTTTTTTTTTCTTTCAGCACTTTCGAAGTGTTATTCTGGTTTGTATGGCTTCTGTTGATAAGTCTGCTGTTTGTCCTATGGGGTTTCTTTTATAGGTGACCAGAGGCTTTTCTCTTGCTAATTTTAAAATTCTTTATTTCACTTTGATTACTTTGATTTTTAGACATCCTAAATATAATATGCTGAGGTGAAGTCCTTTTTGCAGTGTATTAATATTTGCCAGGGGATCAGTGGGACTCCTGTATCTGGATGTCTAACTCCCTTGCTAGATGTGGGAAGTTTTAACTATTTCCTTAAATAGATTATCTAAACAATTTTTAATTTCTCTTCCCCTTGGGCATACTGATAATTCATGACTTTGGTCACTATGTAATCTCAGTCCCAGAAGTCTCGAAAACTTTTTCATTCTTTTTAATACTTTTTTCTTTATTTTTGTCTGGATTATTTCAAAAGACCTTTCTTCAAATTCTGAGATTAATTGTTCTGCTTGGTCCAGTCTATTCTTGAAGCTTTTATTTATTTTATTTTATTTTTATTTATTTATTTTTTTATGGACAAATTGCTTTTATTTTTTTTATTTTTTTATTAAATCATCACTGGTGTACATTAATGCAGTCGTGGGGTACAGTGTGCTGGTTTTATATACAATTTGAAATATTTTCATCAAACTGGTTAACATAGCCTGCATGGCATTTTCTTAGTTATTGTGTTAAGACTTTTATATTCTACGTTCAGTAAGTTTCACATGCACCCTTGTAGGTGTGGTCCCACTAATTACTCTCCCTCCACCTATCCTCCCCCCTCCCTATTCTTGAAGCTTTTAAATGTACTTTGTGTTTTCTTTAATGACTTTCAGTTCCAGAATCTTTTTAAAGATATCTTTCTCCTTTATAAATTTCTCATTCTTATTCTGAATTGATTTTCTGATTTCTTTGTATTGGTTTTCAGATTTCTCTTGCATCTCATTGTGCTCCTTAATATTTTGAACTCTTTATCTGGCATTTCAAGTTCTTTTTTCATTGGAATCTGCTTTGGGAACCCCAACCCCCCTGCCAAACCGTGCTTTCCTCTAAACTCCATCATAATAACACAGAGGACTTCTGTGACCAAATGGGGGGTTCTTCCACACACACCAAGCAGTGGACAACAGCTGCTTGTGTTCTAGTTCAGTTCCAACACTCTTCCTGAAAGTAAGTCAGATGCTAGGGATAGGGGATTACTTTCCAACCCCCCAACCCCAGACACTAGTTGCAAGTCCTATGGAACTTCTGACAATTGGCTTTAAGTTGTGGTTTCCCATGACCCCCTTCCTCTTTGGGTTTAATTTGTTGGAGTGACTCACAGATCTTGGAAACACATTTACTGTTTTATTATAACAGATATTACAAACGATAAAAATGAAGAGATGCATAGAAGGAGGTATGGGGGAAAGGGAGTTTCTATGCCCTGACTAGGCCTACCACCTTCCAGGAACCTCCTCATGGTCAGCTGTCCAGAAGCTCTTCAGACCGAGTCCTCTTGGTTTTCTATGGCAGCTTCATTATTTAGGCATGATTGATAACCACGTAGAAGTGTGATTGGGCAAAAAGTGCGTAATCCAACCCCACACTGCCTATCTATTCAGATTCCTCCTGGCCTCACAGTGTAGCATTCTTTCCCCTAGGGTAGGGGGCAGGACCCTCTCTCCAATGAGGGTCTTTTGAGCCACAGTCATATTAGAATCCAGCCTTGGGCAGATGAAAGGAAGTTAGGAAAAGCGCAGAGAGAGATTGTATCTCCTGAGGCCTGAAGTGCCCCAACCTTATAACAAGGATTATAGGAGTTATGAACCTCCATAAGAACTGTGGATGAAAACTAATACATACGTGTGATACCACAGGGTCTATTGTTGGATGTTGTTTTGGTCCTTTGGTGGTATCATATTTCCTTGCTTTGTCATGTTTTCTTTGTCCTTCCATTTATATCTGCGCATCTCGTTAATAGCCACTTCTGAGTTTTTTGAAATTGCTTTCACAGGAGAATTTTTCCAAAGATGTATGTATGTTGTTGGTTGAGTAGAACACTTTGGCTTTAATTTGCATGCCTGTTGTAGTGTGATCTTTATATGATTTTTTCAACAGTACACAGGGTCAGTGGTATCTGTGATTTCCTTGGTGACTTAGGATATGATTATTAGTTGAGGTTGTGGTCAAGATTTTCTGGGGACTTGGATGCCAATTGAGCTAGTCTATGGGCCCTGGTGGGGCTTAGTGTGCCTGATTTTAGGCCCTGGAGCAGCTTATGCTGGCACCACTCTTAGTGGTTTCGGAGGGCCAATTCCTGAGCCTGTAGGTGGCTTGCTCAGAAGTTGGTAGTGGGAGCTGTGGGCCAGGTGCCTGGGAAGATTATCAGGCCCCTGGGCAGCATTTGTGATTTGAGTAATGGCAGTAATGGCAGTAGAGCACCCTCCTGGGACTCAGAGGGTAGCTGGTAGCTGCAGTGGGTTGACCAGGCTAGTCTCTAGTTCCAAGCTGCCTGTAGCAGGGCAGTGGGGATGGTTCTAAGTGTGTTTAGTAGAGTTTGGTTGGCTCTGTCCTTTTATAGCCAAGTGGCCGCTGCAGCTGTGTTGCCTCAAACTTGCCAGAGGGCAGGGCACAGTCTAATACTACAGTCTAAAAGTGGTGCCATCTGTGGGCCTGGGGCTGGGGTGGAGGGGCTCTGCTCAGGCATGTAACATGGGCAAGAAGTTGTGGAAAGTAGTCCACTTGTTACTCATTCTCATATCATCCTGTTGCATGGCAGTGGCTTTTGTCCTAAGTCTATGTAAGAGAGCATGGCTTCTAGGTGTCTCTCCTTGGCTTAGTAGCAGCTGCTATAGCCTCAACCCAAACTTGGCCCAAGGGCTGGGTGCAACCCAGAGTTAAACTCTCAAAATGGTGCCTTGAGCCTACTAGGAGAGATGGTAGGCCTTTTCCAAGCAAGCAGCATATGGAAGAAGCTTTGGAGAATATCTTGGTCTCACGTGGTTACCAGGTGGTGGATACGTATTATTCTGGATATACCAAGGAGAGCCTGGTTTCTTGTCCCTCTTGGGTCAGATGGCAGTTGTAGTTTGTCAGCCCAGACTTTACCCAAACTTGGCTTAAGAGCAGGACACAGCTCAGCATTAAACTCTCAAAACAGCATGTTGGGCCTACCACCAAAGAGGGAGAGGCCCTTTTGAGCAAGCAATGTAGGCAGGAAGCTGAGTGGATTGTGCAAATTGCTCATGTCTCAGTCTCAACAGCAGCCCACAGCAGGGTGGTGGGGATCTTTCCAGGATTGCATGGGAGCCCCCAGTATCCCTTTCTCCTAGAGTAATGTAGCAGCAGCAGTCATTGTCTCTGTGCAGTGACTCTAGGCAGCTCCCTATGTTAGGCCTAAGGCCTGCATGAGTCAAAATACTCTCTCATAGCCAAGACTGTAAAACCCTGTTTTGGAGTGTGGAGCCCTGGGGGTTTCTGTCTTACTGTTTCCCCATGTTCAGGAGCTTCTCCAGGCTCTCACCCAGTCCCCAGCCAGGCAAGCTACTTTGAACTCTCTCCATACTTTTGGTTCTTCCTGTTACTCCTCTGGTAAATCCAGGCCTTCTCTCTTAACATGATATGTTCAAAATGTTATCTATCATATTATTTTGAGAAGGAGGCATATACTATCTGTATTTAGTCATCTTGATACTGTCTCTTCAAGTTTTTTTTTCAAATTCTTTCATATATCTCTTTTCCACTGTAATTGACATTCACTCTTTTGTAACCAGCTTTTTTCACACTAGAATATGCCATGGCAATAAATATAAATCTAGGTTATTATTTTTAATAGTTACATATATATGTGTATGTGTATATATATCTCAAATTGAACCATTTAAGGTTCAGAGACTATCTTTGTATAATAGGTTAATCTTCTTAAAGTAGACATGCTATTGCTGGATGAAAGGAAATACATATTTAAAATTTCAAATACATGTTACCAGATTGTATTACATATGATTTTAAAGTGAAGATATTTTGTTAGAGAACTCTTTTTTCTTTTTTGTTAAAATATAATTTTTAGAAAATTGTGGTAATTGATTTCAGACATCTAAAATTACTATACCTTTATATTTTTCATTATTTTATCTTTAGCTTTTGCCTATGATGACAGAGCAACTACAGTGGATGCCATTTGTGAATGTCAAACTTCACGAGCCTTTTGTAAAATTTATATATTGGTCACTAAGACAGCTAGATGCTGGAACGCAGGTAATTGATTAGTAGCAATCAATCTTCAAGGAATACTCTGTTCAATATTTCTTTTGATGTAGTTGTTTTCTAATTTTTTTTTTGAGTATGTGCTCTTTATATTTTTTTATTAAGTCACAAACACATAGATCATGTATACATTAATGCATTTATGGGGTACAATGTGCTGATTTTAAATACAATTTGGAATGCTTACATCAAACTACTTAATATAGCCTTCACCTCATTTACTTAATTATTGTGTTAAGACATTTATACTCTGCGCTTAATAGATAGGACATATACCCTTGCAATATGCACCATAGGTGTGGTCCCTCTCCCTCCTTCAACCCTCCCCCCTCTTCCCTCTTTCATCCTGGGGTAATCTTCTCTACCTATAAGATAGCTTGCTGGAATTTTGATAGGAATTGCATTAAACTTTTGTTTAGGAGTGTCCAACCTTTTTTTGACACACATTGGAAGAATAAGAGTTGTCTTGGACCACACATTAAATACACAAACACTAAAGAAAGCTGATCAGCAAAAGAAAAGGTCCATGCATACATTTTGTGATACCTGACACCACAGATAAGCAGTTGACACCCTTGTATCAATTTGAGGATTGACATCTTTACTGTGTTGAATCTCCCAATTCAGGAAAAGAAAACATCTCTCCATTTTTTTAGAACTCTGATTTCATTCATTAGTGTCCTGTAACTATTTGACATATGCATAAAATTCCTGTGTTCTTTTTTAGATTTTCAACTCAATATTTGAAGTTTTCTTTGGTGTTGTCTTTTTAATTTTGATGTTCACTGATCATTGATTGTGTATACAAATATGTATAATTGATTATTCTATTTATTTTTGATCCTGTGACCTTGACCTTATAGACTTTAATAGTTTCCTTTGATTTTTCTACAGATTCTCCTGTTATATGCAAATGGGAGCATATTTTGTTTTTTATATATATGCCTTTAATTTCTTTTTCTCATGTTACTGCATTAGCTAGAATTTCTATCAGAATGTTGAATTTGAGTAGTGAGAGCAGACATCCTTGCCATGTTCATCTTAGGGGGAAGTATTCAGTCTGTCACCATTAAATATAATATCAGCTGTAGTGTTTTTATAGATCCTTTTTATCAGGTTTAGTTAGTTCCCCCCTCTTTTTCCTATTTTTCTGAGATTTTTATCATGAATGAGTGTTGAATTTTTTCAAATGCTTTTTATGCATTGGTTAATACAACTATGTGATATTTTCCAGCTTTAACTTGTTAATATGGAGGATTGCATTCTATTTCAAATATTGAATCAGCCATGCCTCCCCAAAAGAAAGCCCACTTGGTTGTAGTGTTTTATTCTTTTTGTATAGTGTTGAATTCTGTTAGCTAACATTTTGGTAAGGATTTTTGCATCCATGTTAATGAAAGATATTGCTCTATAGTTTTGTTTTGAACTTTTTGTGATTTTGTATTATAATGCTAGGTTCATAAAATGAATTGGGAAGTATTCCATCATATATATTTTATGGAAGAAATGATATACAGTTAGTGTTAATTCTTCTTTAAACATCTGATAGAATTCTCTAGTCAAACTGTCTAGGCCTGGAGATTTGGGGAAGGCTTTAAACAATGAATTCAAGTTCCTTAGTAGTTACAGGGCTTTTCTAATTCAGTAATTTATAATAGTGATTTGGGAATGACAGTTCTTTACTTCCAGTGCTTGCAGAAGTGTTGTGCCAATTCTGTCTCGGCTCCATGGTGTCTGATAAGAAATCTCTGTCATTTGAATTATGTTCCCCGTCTATGTAAAGTATTATTTTACTCTTGCCATTTTCTACACATATATATTTTTTCATCTTTGGTTTTCATAAGTTTGACAATAATAGGTATTTTTTGTTGACCCCTTTTCTTTCATTATTTATTTTAAGTTAGGATTTAGGATTTATTTTAATTTAATTTAGGATTAAGATAAAGGTACATATAATTAGGTTACATTATTTGCATGTGTTAGGTAAAGTCTAAGTTGTATTTGAGTCCTTAGATGTGCAAAAATTATTTCATTTGGATGTGATCCAAGTTACCTGTTTTTTCCTTTTTAAAATTATATTTGTAAATTTCCTATTAATATAAGGACACAAATGATTAGGTTACATTGTTTGTGTTTGTTAGGTAAAGTTCAAGTTGTAGTTCAGCCCTTCCCTTAGGTGGTGTGCCATGTGCCCCTACATTGCGCCCATTAGGTGAGAATTTACCAGACACCCTCCCTCCTCCCCCTACTTGAATTTAATTGTGTTTTTCTTTCATGTGAGTATGTAATTATTCATCTACTGGTTTCATACTAGTACTAAGTATATTGGATACTCGCTTTTCCATTCTTGGTTTTTGTTTTTTTTTTTGAGACAGAGCCTCAAGCTGTCACTCTGGGTAGAGTACTATGGCATCACAGCTCACAGCAACCTCCAACTCCTGGGCTCAAGTGAGTCTCCTGCCTCCACCTCCCAAGTAGCTGGGATTACAGGCGCCTGCCACAACGCCTGGCTATTTTTTGGTTGCAGCCATCATTTTTGTTTGACAGACCCAGGCTGGATTCGAACCCTCCAGCTTAGGTGTATGTGGCTGGTGCCTTAGCCACTTGAGCTACAGGCACTGAGCCCTCACTTTTCCATTCTTGTGATACTTTATTTAAGAAGATGTCCTCCAGATCCATCCTGGTAAATGCAAAAGATATAACATCTCTTGGCTTGGTGCCTGAAGCTCAGTGATTAAGGGGCTGGCCACATACACCGGGACTGGCAGGTTCGAACCCAGCCTGGGTCTGCCAAACAACAATGACAACTACAACAAAAAAAAATAGCTGGGAGTTGTGGTGGGTGCCTATAGTCCCAGCTACTTGGGAGGCTGAGGCAAGAGAATCACTTTGAAAGAAACCAAGCCGCAAAGACAAAAAGGTGAACCCCACTTTGATGCAATAATTGATAAAATTTATTACACCTGCAGGGGGCTGATACCTTCTTAGAGGCATGCAGCCCCAAATAGTGGGTGAGAAATCCTTTTATACTGTTATTCTGCATAATCAGCAAGCTAGCGCAATACAGAAGCCAATCATAGCGGTTAGAGAGGGATCGCAAGGTAAGGGTGCGTATTGATTCATAAGTCACAAGATACATCACAAACACATTACTTCATCATCATAAGATGGGGCATATCATAAGGGGTTACACAATTCAGGGTGGGGGTAACATGCAAACTTAAAGTACATTAACTAACAATTCATCAAATAAAGGGTACGACCAAGTATTAGACAAGTTTCCGAGAACTTGGGCCTGAAAACAACTTGGGCCTTTTCACCTGGAGAATCCACTCCTCCCTTCCTTCCTTCTTATCTTCAAGCTTCTTCCCAGAACTTAACTTCTCCTCCCTTGTGGGGGCTGAGGCTAAATGGCTTAGGAGAAATTCCTTTTTCAAGTATAATGGGTTTGTTGCATTTCTTACTAGTCCTGGGGGTTAGGGGCTGGGGGCTCAGTTATTACAGTCCCCACTGGTTTTATTGATAAATTGAGTCCTCAATGTACCTGAGTTGTTTGGGACAAAGGGGCAAGGACTATGAAGTGGTTAAACATAATGAGACTGCCGGCTAAAGTTTTGTTAAGGTTCCTTGGTTCCCAAAAGAATATTATTTCTGGCAAAGAGTTTAGGGATTTTTCTAAATGGGCAACAGAAATTTCTAAAGCTCGAAAATCTGCATTGAGCTGAGTGGTAAAAGTTTTCATATTTGGGTTGGATAATCTTGAAGCTAAAATTATGGTGCTCATAACCATAGAAGTATTTCTAACATTAAATACTGCATCTAAAAAAGTAAATAAAGGGGATATTACAGAAGCTATAGGAGGCGTGGGAGCTGCAAACAGCATTTTTGAATTTGAATCGGTATTATCTGGGGCTTTACTGGCCAAAGCTTGGACATTGGGGATAAGAATTAACAGTGGCTCTGGACTGTGGGGGATTTTCTGAATAGTGAACAAGAAGCCAGGGTCCCACCCACTAACGTACGGTGTAACACCCCAAGTTAAACCTGTTTCCCATATTGTTTCCTGCCAATTTTTCATAGACAACTTGATAGGATTACAATTGAAATTTGAAGTACAAATACCTGGTCCTTCCCTTCGGAAGTCTATTTGTAGGTCCCTGGACAGTCCCCATGATGCTATAGTTTCACAGTCTCAGTTGAACTATACTATAATAAATTACTATAATAGTAGTTTTTTTTGCATTCCCACAATAATGTCCACCTCTGTTGGTTGAAGGGCATAAGGTAGAAGTCTATATATCTAAGTCCCTGGGCATTATACTGGTTTATGCAGCTCCAAATTGGATCCCCCTTTCCTCAGTACCTGGTCTATGTGGTTCCGGTCCAGCCATAGCCAAAGAGGGCTCAGAGGTCGAAATGGAAGACTGGCCAAGCGTTGGCTTCTTTTATGCCTCTGTCCTTGGTCATGGAGAGGATCCATGGAGCTGAGACACAGGCTACTTCAGTGCCATCTACGGTATAGGAGAGGATCCAGTCATAGGGGACTGGTTGGTGCTGATCATAGTTTTCTTTTCTGCTGGTTCCTTGGTTGGTGTGGAGCAGGCAGATGAGGAGGGAGATCTGTGCCACCAGGTTTTTAGGGGGTCCCCGGGGACTTGGAGTGCCATGTTGCAGGGATGTAGTCCTCTGCGGCCTTCTTAGTGTGGGAGTAATGGATCCACACCTTCTTTGCTGGCTGTTGGGGTAGTTAAAATAACAGGGTAAGGCCCTTCCCAATATAGAGTTAAGCTTTCAGGGTTATATCTCTTTACCCAAGCCCAGTCTCCAGGTTGGAAGTTGTATACCTGTTCCATGGTATTGGTGGCCTAAGAGTTGACCGGCTGCATGGTCTCCCGGAGATCTTTGCGCAGCTTTAATGTAGAGCCTGTAAGGAAGTGAGAAGTTTATGGTTATGGACGGGGCCCAACAGTTCATCAGTTAGTTTTGTGAGT